TGCCACAGTTGGTCTTTCTGCTGCTTCTCGTCCAGGCCTACAACAGCAGTCTGCTCTCTACCTGGCACAAGGGCCCCTGACTGCGTTCCCTGGTCCTTGCCACCTCATAGTTGGTGCTGAGATCTTTGTAAAAAGAAATGGAGGCAAGCCACTCTGCCATTGGAGAAAGGCTCCCCTTGCTTTTAGGTCGTCTCCAGGCCTCAGGCAGGCCACCAGACTCCTGGTCCTGCTTCAACACTACCACGTCCTATTTGCAGTTTCTCCATAGGCAGTGCAGTGCATGCAGTGCATGCAGCACAGCGCAGTGCAGTGCACTGCCTTTCCTTCCGCCCTTTCCCCAGAAGGCCCTTTGCCCTTTGTTTAGTCTGTGTCCTTAGATTCAGGCAAGGGTCTGGGGACAAGGCTCAATGGGCAGGAGTGCTTGTTGCACGAGTTTGGATCCCAGCACCGCGTGAAAAGCCGGCATGGCTCAGCAGGTGCCTGCCACCCCAGCACTGCGTGGGGGGAGACAAGAGGATTGCTGAGGCATGCTGCTGTCAACACAGCTCTAGTTCAGTGAGAGACGCTGTTTCGAGGGACGAAAGCAGAGTGATAGAGAAGGACACTGGACATCCTCCTTTGGCCTCCAGGCGAGTGCACCTGTATGTGTGCGCACACACACATATACAATTGCACACGGGCTCAGCCCACACAGGATCCCTTCTAGGAACCCTGGACCTCTCGGGTGTACCGACATCAACAATGTATCCTGTAGCATCCTACAGTGAACATGCCTTTCCTACGTACATAGACATGTCACTGCACATATTCACCTGCCCCCAGTCTGCTTCCATCTGTTGTACAACAGGCCTGGCCTGAGCCTTTGGGACTGTCAGGACCATGTGGGAGCTGGCTTACCTGCACATCCACAATGTGGTAGTTGACTCGGAGCTCGTACTTCTTGAGCACTTGCAGAAGTGCCTCCACTGTCTCAGGGGAGGTGAAGAACTCTAGGTAGGCCTGAGGGAGAAGACACCGATCAGGTCAACCCCGGCTCCTTGCCGGCTTCCCTGCCTTCCCTCCTCACCCCGCTGCTGCAGTCCATCTCCACATTGACAAGCCTGCCTACTCCATCTCTCAGCCAGATGCCTGGCCTCCTTCAGGAGAGGACCCCATCTGTACAAGGGTAAGACACTGAAGGCTTTGGGGTTAGAGGAGGCACTGCGGACCAGGAGGAACTGTGGAGGCTGGGGGAACGCAGAAGGAAAGAGGCTTCTCTGTCTGGAGTGGTCCCAGGGTACCAGCTACTGGGTGACAATGCCACAACAGGGCTGGGCAAGGCACTTCTGTCTGCACGTGGCCTCATCACCCTCGTGTTCTAGAATGTTCAGAATACTGCAAGGTGGGTACTTATGCCCAGAGGAGGAAGCCAGGTTTGGGGCTATATCAAGTGGAACAGCAGAGCTGGCACCTAAAGCCAGGTCTCCTGAGTCTAAGGCTCAAGGCCTAGCTGCAGAGTGTAATTTAGCCCCTGCAGGCCTGGGATTAAAGTGCCCGTCTCGTTAGCAGCCAGAGCTCTGAAAGCTGACTGTGTCCTTGTTCTTCCTCTGGGAAGAATACTGCATATGTTTCATTATATTTTGTACTCCAAACATAAAATGCCTCCCTCCTCCATTTTACAGAACAAACTAGTGAACCCGGGTGACCTATTATTCACTCTGCTCCATAGTTATTCAAAACGCAGGGCCCAGGAAGCAAAGGTCAGGGCTCTATTCCAGTCTCTGGAGATATCCTAAGCCCTGGTCAGGGTGAGTAGCTTCAAGCAGCCTAGCATACCTTCTGGAAGACGTAGCCCCCACTAGGGCCCCAGCCTACAACAGGGTCTGAGGATGGCTTCCCATTGATGTTGGGCTGTGAGTTGATGGTGAGGATGCCCAGCCTGTTCACTCGGAGCAGCTCTTCCTTCATCAGGCTGGTTTCTGCTGCCAGGGGATCATCGTTCCAGGGCAGGCAGGTGACCTGCAGGATGAGGTGAGCTGAACTTGGCATTGATGAGTCTGGACCTGGGTCGTTTCCTCCTTGGACCTAGCCTGTCTTTGCTTCCATGGGCTCCTCAATGGGATTTCTTACCCATTCCCTCAGCTGAGGTGCACATCCACAAGAGAGGAAACAGCCTAGCTCTCGTCCAGCCCAAGGCTGAGGCAAGACTGGGGTGGAGACCCCAGGTACCCCACCCTACCCCACTCACTGTGTGGCCATGCTGGTTTGGCTCTCCAGAGAGGTAATGTTCAAAGACTTCAAAGACACTCTCTTCGCTGGTGAGCTCCTCACCCCACATCTTCAGCAGCTCCTCCCTGGGGGACTTGCTTTTCAGGTAGAAGAGGTAGTAGTCCTTCAGCTCCCCAAAGGCTGGTGAGGAGGAATTACCCCTGGCAGGAGTGTAGGGGTCAGGGCACTTTCCTGTAAACCCCATCCCTAACTCCCCCCAGGCAGCAGCAGGTCCCTAGCAAGGAGTGGCTGTTGCCCTCACCAGCGGCCGTTGGGAAACTCATCCCAGTCCTGTGTGCGGTAGATATAGCTTTTCGGTCTGGAGGCCCAGAAGATGGGACGCACATATTCCTCCCGGCGCTTGGGATGCGCACTGACAGCCCAGGGCAGGGGACGCCTGGTGAAAGGAAGAGGGAAAAACCAAGGCATTAACTGGAGTGAGCTAGAGGAAGTCACCAAGCCTGGCGGCTGCAGCTTCACTCCAAGCCCCCCCGGAATACTCCTCCAGCTTCCATTTCCTACCTGGGGTCCTCAGTCCACATGCCCAGTTGCTTTAGCACCTCCATAGTGGCCACCTCACGGTTGAGGGTGTAGAAGTGGAGGCCCGGCACCAAGCCGCTGTCCAGCAGCTCCCGGCACAAGCTCACAGCCAGCTCAATGCCATAGTTGCGGATGGCAGCATCATTGTCTTTGATGGGCTCGATGACATCCTTGATCTTCTGCGGTACCTCCAGCTTGGACAGTTTTACAAGCTGCCGAAGGGAGGAGTAGGCCTGTCCGAGACACAAGAGGTGTGGGGTCATCTCCAGCCTGTGCTCTGCCCTATTGCCTCCCTAGGCTCTTGGCTAATTAGTTTCATGTGGAGAGACCTGGGAAAGCTGGGGGGCATTGCTGGGCTTTCTTCTTCTGTTGGAGAATCTGGAAGCTGCCTATAGCATTTCTGCCATCAGCCTAAACCAGCCCCTGAGCCCAACACAGTGGTTACCTAACTCAGCTATTCCCAAGCTTCACTGGCCAGTCACCTGCCAAACGTAAGGTTTAAATTACAGATCCCACCTCTGGAATGCTGGGATTGTAAGTGCATACCATTGGGTTTAGTTTAACCACACTTTCTGATGAGAGCTATGATTACTTTCAATGACATCTGTTAGCAGGCCAAAGTACAATCTCTTTATAGATACCACTGTGTCTTAGGGGTGACAACTGAGGCGACCAAATGCAGCATGTGGACACTGAGTGCCACTGAGGAAGAACTTCAGTATAA